ACGTATGCAACGTGAGAAATAACAAGATTAGTTTTCATATTTATTTTTCTTCTCGTAGTCAATAGAACGAGAGAACGACTTTTAGACTCTCTTGTTACCATTTAAATTTCAACATAATAAATTTTAGATAGCATAGTGCCAGTATAAAACATTATTAAACTTTTGTCTAAATATTATTTTTTATTATCTTGCGAAATAATTATATCTATATTATTTTTCGTCCAAATATATCAATATCTTAATTTTATTATTAATTACACACATTTTCAGAGATATATATAAAAAAAAAACATGAGAAAAGTGGATTTGTAGAAGACAGCTATTATTCTTCTTTTCAAGAATTGAGGCCATATTTTGGCCGCGCGATCAATGTACTTTAATGGCATTGATGCGGTAAGGTTCAGCTTCCGCTCTGCGTGACGAAGCTCATTTCCAGGACTGTTTTATGTCTCGTGTATATATTTGGGAGGGGAATTCCAAATATATATTCTTTTTTCCTTCATGGTCATCAACGATTTGACCATTATTCCCCTATGCGTATTGTTTACATTTCTCATTAGGACGTAATTATATCAAAATATTCGCATAATAAAATTATGCATTATGTATTGTAATATTTAAGTACTTCCAATATTAATAGTAATTATATTTTAAAAAAATATTAATTAATCTTACATATACGCAATATAATATATAATATATAATATTATTAATTCCAATTATATTATATTCACATTTATATTATTTATTTTTGATTTTTTTATCATTCTTTTTTTCTTTCTTTGTGCAATTAACTATTTTTTCTCTTAAATTTCAAGCATAATAAAAATTGTCAATATAACAATATAAATATCGCTGTTGCTGCATGCATCGAAATTTGCAGTTACAGTAATTTCATCTTTTCTCTTCCGGTATGTTTATTTTCCTCTGTGAGACGTTTCATTCCCAACTTTCTATATCGCCGAAATTGATGGCCCCAGAAGATGGAAATTATTTTTCAGGCGGTAACACTCGGTTACGTCCATCTTCGGTTTCGGCGAACTAAGGAACAACAGGTTCGTTTCGCAAGGTAAAGATACATGTCCCTTTTCGTTGTCCCCCTCGCCTCGTGCACGCATACATGCAAATCAGCGTGTGCAGGTGCATGATAGATGCATGCTGGAAAGAATCGCGCGTACACAGAGGAGGAGCCTCGCCTGTGGGAAAGTAACGCTACACCATGGGATCCACCGGACTGGACCGCGCGTCATGGGCTCCAATAAAGTCTCATAGTATCCTGTACATACTATAGTCCGTCATGCTCGTCGCTGCTCGGTATACACGGTTAAACTGACCACCATGGTTCCGAATACCCCCCTCACACTTCCTCTCCTCTGTCATTGAGACCGAGTGGTGAATTGACTTCGTGGAATTTGCACATGGGTGGACGCGCTGATTTCTCTATCATCGGTCGATTAAATCCTCGTAAATTAAAATTCGTTAAATAATCACATGCACTGGTACAATCAAGAACAGCAGGTGCTGCGAAAATTCTGCGACAAAAATTACTATCATGAAACGAATCAGTGTTATCAAAAGAATGTTTCGCTCGTATATTTTTTATTATTTTCAAATCTAAATGATGTAACGCGGATAAATTGCATAGTATTATCAGCAAGTACCTATAAGCAAGTTCCATAGGCTAAACTGGTAAACTTCTAGGCACTTAACGATAATGCTATGTAATTTATTTAACTTTGTTACATCACACGTTGAAAATGATGAAAAATATGATTGTAGCGTTTCACTAAAACATCGTTGCCAATGATTACACTTTCGGAGTCCATCCTACTTTAACGATAATCATTTAATTTATATACGCGATAATCATTTAATTTAATCTTGAATTTACGTGGAAACATTATTATATGCTGAAACTATAAATTTGAAAAGATTGAACGTTAAAAGCAAATATGATTGAAAAATGATCAAATATGATTGATTAATAGTTTTTGGAATATTCAAAGCTTCAAGTAATTTATGTTTTAGAAGATGTCGATATCCAAAAGATTTTTATTTTTCTATTATTATAGATTTTTACTTTGTGTGATCAATCGATAATTTCAACATTATCTTGCAATATATAATACAAATGTCAAATGATAGAAAATATTCCATCATATAACAGAAGACGGTCCGCAACGTATGAAAATTATTCGACACAAAAGCGACTTGGCGCAGCAGATCGAGACTCGTAAGGTACATACCTTTCGCGCGATAAGCCCGTGCTGACTTTACGAGAACCAACATATATATGTGCACACACGTTTCGCATTGTCGGCCGTGCACGCGTGCACTCGCGAGACTTATCTGCCGGTTGCAGCTGCATCGGCGGTACGAGCGGCGATCTAGCTTGGCGCGGTTAATTGAATTTTCTCCTCGAGATCGTCGCGGACGAAGCTAGAGCTGATGGAAGGATCTTTCACAGTGAGGTCCCTTGTGTTCGCGACAAAAGGCACGCGTGTTGCATGACCGTATCACGATAGTACGCGTGGCTGCAGCCGTGGAACTCTCTCTCTCTCTTTCATGCCGGCTTGAGACCAAAGTCATTCGCGCTTCTTACAAACAGACCGCCGTTAGACGCGAGCAATGTTTTTCTACGACTCTCGGTTCTCGACCCCGGTAGAATCGATGGAAAAAATTCGAGGAATTGAGCGCGGTGCGATGTGCGTCCTCGGAAAAGCCACCGTTTACGAACAGTCGGCGGATACGAGATGTGCGACAGAAAAATCAATAAACTCTAATTAAATTAAAATCTCTCTCTTTCGTATTATCTTTATAATTGCGAAACGATTGGAGAAAATTTAATTCATTACACGAAAATTTAATAGGTATATTTTAGATGATCCTCCCAATTTCAATCCAAATTACAACGCGCCGCAGTATTATTTTCAAAGACATCCCTTATTTTCGACACGCCTACGCATTCAAGATTGGTCTCAAATTACATATGTCGACCACCCTATATTGTACTTGGCTGCACCGTGAATGCCACCCAAGTGCCTAATCGCGAGCTTCTTTCCTTTCGAAACCTACACCTTCCCGAATACCTGCGGTATGATCGGCAAGTGCTCTTTTCAGATGGCTCTATTATAAATCACTTCAAGGGACCACCATCGGAAAGTGCAACGCGGTTGCAACATTGGTTGTGGAAAATTCAATCGTGAGACCTAACACACCGGAAGATTGATTTCTTCTTCCGGTACAAGAATAAGCACGATTGCATCTAGACTGACGTAAATGCAAATGCAAATTCCAATCTAGATCGCGGAACATAATAGTGATTAGATCGCTATAAATATAAAACGCGCTTTCCACGAAATGACGAATTTTCTCAGCCGCGGGTCATTGTTTTTCCCGGCGAGCGCACGTATCGCGCGATGTAACGAGTTTATTAAAAGGAATCGGGGAAGCGCACACATATTACCATTCAGTGAATCGAGCAGACTCCCACGTACGTTTCTCGCTTTTCCCTCGCCGAGACGTAAACCCCTCTTTCTTCGGCATGAACTCAACGCCCATGCAGACGGGCGATCACGTAGGACGCGCCTCTCGCGTTTTATTTCTTTTTCTTCTTTTTCTTTTCGAATGTGGCAGGTACAGGCGTGTATGTAAAATATCGTCGTGAGGAGGTAGGAACAAAGATTTGTTGACCGAGCACCGGTCAAAGAGATAAGCAGTCTCTCTATAACTCCATGAATGGCCCGATCGCTTGAATATCAGCTAGTTGGCCTTGTCGCAGAATCTTAATTTTACTTTTGTACAATCAGCATAAGAAAACGATCGATTAGATTTATGCTACATTACGTGTGAGCGAGAAAATAATATTTTATTCACTTTTACGGAATTTCTCGTCTCGCGATTGCAAATAAAAAAATTGACGATGTTCTCGAGAAAAAAATGGTTGTAGACAGGTGAAAGACTCATATATGCGGCGGATGTTGCAATCGCGACATTCTAGGATCCGGTGATGATGATTATCTTAACGAGAACGCGCTACCGCCATCACGTAATAGCTTCTTACACATGTCGCTCAGTTTCGAATCGGTGGAGTAATTTTTGCGCAAAATAACTAATAAAATTGCCGGACGTGCTTATGCGTAACGACCGAGGAGGGATCTGTCGGATTTTTTCCCCACGATGCGAGACTCGGCTGCGATATACGTGTAGCTCGCCTCTGTCTCAACAATACAACGCGGAACTTGCTATGTGCATCACGTAATATCTGAATCCTAATTTATTTTTATAGGAAGAACTATAAATATAGAATCATAAAGCGCAGATCACACGCTTTCAATAATGCGAACGCTTTCTCCTAGAGTTTTATATCCGCAAGTTATTTCGCGTGATCGCAATTCATGGTAATTTACATATGTATGTATATAAAAATACAATACAATATAATATATAACAATACCTTAAAATATATTTAAAAAATTATCTAAAATATCTGTAATTGCATAATCTGGCTTATTGTATAAAAATCTTGTTCAAATCTTGTACAAAAATTTCTAGAAAATTTATATTTTTCTCCATATCGTGTATCAGTACCAATTTATATAGTATTTCAAAATAAATATATAAACATAAATGCATTAACATTTAAATCAGATTATAAAATTATATAATATTTTGTTATATATTTAGCTTACTGTAAAAATATTGCAATTTAAAATCTTGCATAAAGAGGACATTCAATTTACATTGTCATTAATCTTTCTTCTTCATATTCTGGATGGTTTTATATTTTCGCCGAGACAAGGAAGAGTCTCAGAGCTGAAAGTACAGCCTGGACCTCCTCAGGAGCGACTGGTTCTGTGGACATACGCTCTTCTTCGTCGTCGTCGTGAACAACGCGAGTATCGTCGTCACCCCCGCAATTTCTCGACGCGCATACAGACACACGCGCACGTATACAGACACGCGGAATGCACAGCGGCTTACACAAACAAGAAGGTCGTTCTCTTTCCTCCACCTCATCCGTCCGCCAGCTTACTATGTTGGCTTACTCGTGCGTTCTCGCCAGTCGCGACAGAACGCTCGCCGAGCGCACATCGCGGTGCAGTCGGCGCGTGTTTCAAGCAAATCGACTTCGAACTCGGTTCGAATTTTTCTCGAGGAAAGGAGGAGACACGTCTCGTTACATACGACCATTCGACAAATAACGATGCGAGGACGTTTCGTGTGAAATGTACGGAGCGATTTGCGCGAAACTGAATGTCATCGCGCGAATGTCACGCGTGCCGGAAGTCTCTCCTCGAGATTGTGACTGGTGGTGAATTCGTTGGTGTGTTGTGACTATCGCGTAAATTGCTCTTTAATCCAAGACAGTGAATTTAGATGATCTCGATGTCGTATATTTGTCAATTTTGAATTTTCGCCGCGTGTCGACGCGGATTATTGCGAGTGCGCGGGTCGCTGAGTTGAAAAAATTCAATAAAAGTAAGTATGTAACGCATATAAACCCTAACAATATTTTTATTTGATATTTACAATAAATTGTTTCACTTTTCCTCTCTTGAAAAATCAGAAGTATATATGCACATCCTTCTCTCTCTCTTTCCTTTCATAGCACTCGCATATCAATGTATCCTTCGGATGCACGTGACTGTAACAAGTCGATCTGTTAATGATGTATCCCGGAAAGCACTAATATTTCCCCTCTTACGATTCCGTGCCTATACAATTAAAACATTGCATAGTGTATAATTAGAATTTATCTGTAATATATGTTGATAAATCGAGTGGAAAAATTCAGCTTTTGGATTTTAGTTAAAAACCTTGTAAAATTAATATTTTTATTACTTATTAACACATTTTTTAAATCCTTGGAAGAATAAAAAAATAATCGGTAATGTTATAACAATATTAATAACGCAGACGGAGAATGAAACTGTTCCTTTAGAGATTCAGTTTTATCGCAACATCTCGTTGGTGAGAATATATTCATATATTTTGCATATGTGATCTGCGAGCTTCTGGTTTACATCTGCGACGAGTTTTTCTACTATTTACAGTACTTACCTCTGTGTAGGATTTTCCTCGCTTTCGAAAAGGTAGGCGTGAGCGAACATCGGTTTGGATATTGCAACCGTCTGGTTTCACTCCGACATCAAATTACACAGACGCGTTTAAAATGTAGCTACCGTCCGGTTTTTCTATGAGCGGGCTTCTCGGCACTTTCCACATTTGTTCAGCTCAGCAATCACAGTTGGACACTACTTATCGAAAGGTCTCCTGACCAATTATGGTTTTTCTACGACCTTGTGAGAGGAAACGCACAAAGAGATTAATTGAAACGTTGTGCTGCTATTGCTGCGACTTCCAGCAAACGCTGTTACGAATACATTACCGGAAATCCACACCGCAGTGAAACTCACAATTTCACTCGTGTTTTTTTCAATGCTCTTTAAAAGTAGTCCTAAATTTAAATTTGCAGTAGAGGCCGCGAAATTACTATTGTCACTGAGATCTTTTTACATTATGAATTCTCTACAGGTCGGTCTCCTTAATCTTAATTTTATTATTATTTTTGAGAGATTTCTGCTCAATTTCAATATAAATCAGCCGAGCATAATTATAAATAAAAAAAAAAAGAAAAATATATCTGCGGATAAATTGATTCTTGACACATGAGAACAAATGATTGATCGATTTTATACACAATTATAGTTATATGTTTTCCCGCAGTTCAATGTTTGTGATTTAATGCTAAATTATCCATGGAACCCCTGATTTCAGAAAAGAACAAAAAAGAATGTTGAAACACGTGTCGGTCTCGCCGTGGAGAGGACGGGCGGACAGCGTGAGCCTCTCATCCAGCGGCGGCGCGAGTAGCTGCGGAAGCGGAAGTCCTACCCCCGGTCACACACCACCACCCTCGAGAGCGTCCTCATGCGCTTCCCTAGTACCCTTAAACGCTCTGTCGAGCTTCTCCCCGGCTGATACCGCGCCCCAACAGGTGAGTACTTCGTGATTAGTTTCCCACACCCGCTTACAAAATTCGCTGTTTACGACGAACACTCCCGCGAAATCATTTATCCGGAAACCGGAATAGGGGATTCCGCTAGACCCCCAGCACTCTATGTGCCATGAAGAAAATAATTTCTAAATTAATATTTCCGCGACGAGTTCTTTATTCATTTTATTTAGCAATACATTGCTTGTAAGATAGTTATTTGATAAGTAAAGATTATTTAGGATTTTTTACATTTAATGGTAAACGTACTTTAATTGATATATAATGTGATGTGTAATAATGAATGACATAGAACTATTATTATGGCAAAATGGGGGGGGGGCGGTTTTGCGTTGTCCGCGGGAGACGGTTAAGAACAACGCGGGAGAGAACAAAAAGTGGCGATGCTGCGTTTAATAAAGTTAAATAGAATAAAAAACGCTTTACGGCGGTTCGCCACGTGACGTAAAGCGGTTTAGCAAGAACGGGAGTAACACGTTTCCCGAGCATATTAACAGCTGTACCACGTGTGTTATCTGCACGAGGATGCCTGATGAATTCATCACATATTTAATCCGTGATTATTCTTCTCGTTGTAATTAAAAAAATATCGTATCTTCATTTTAAGCACGATCATAAATAAGAAAACAATTATAAAAAATAATCGCGATTAAATAAAATAATAAGTTAATAATGATAGGACTTCTTTCTGTAAAATATTAACAAATGTTTTATTGCAAACTTATTTAAGATTGTAATAAGTAATGTTATCGAAGTAATAAGTGTTCGTGCAAGGTAAATATTTCAAATATTTGTGACTCTTACGACTGGGATCAGTTTTAATGATGACCGTATAATTTCTCACGGCTTCTAAAGTCTGCGCTATAGTGTAACTGCACGACGCGCTATGCGGTTTCGCGTCCCTTTTTGCGCGGACAGAAACATGATTCTCTCGAGGGCTTTCGTCCCAGGATGGCATTTAGGCAGGACATATTTTTCTTTGCCATCTGCACAGAGCGTAGCAAACACATGCTTACTGCCATTCGAAATCTTGTTTTTTTTTTTCTAGAAACACTGTGCATCCTTGAAAATGATTATGCTACTTTAAATTGATTTCTTTTTATGCAAAATAACGATTTTGGAGTATAATAACGAATTTGAAGAAACAGAATGATGTTTTAAAAATATATTTTATATATATATGTGTGCGTGTGTGATTGTTAGAAAAAAATTTTATGGATATATCTGAAGATAGAGTAATGCAATCGGTTGCGAGCGGCAAATTGCAAGAATTTTCTAGAGTGAATAAGTGTTTTTTGCAAATTCGCACGCCTGATTACGATCAGGATCGGTATATTTAAAAATGTTATTGCACCCGCGCAAACGTCACTATCCTCATTTCCACTTGAGCTCTAGATATTATATTCGTGCGATTCTCCTCGATGACTACACGGCGAAGAGTTTTCATTGTATTTGTGCTTGTCTGACCTGGTTCGCACGCGGGTTGCAAAGGTCGTCGCAAAATGTATAATTGCTTTCGTTAGCCCGTCCGAGATATATTGGCAATGCGCATTTTCACAAGATCATACATCACACAGATATTTTCGTAATTAGTAGAATATGCAAAACAGATATTTAATAAATACACATTCCGATTATAATTACTTACTTAATAGAAAATAATTCTATTTAATCCAAAGAGTATTGTAGACAATGTTGAATACAATTATACTATCGCATTGTTTGAGAATAAATTTTTAATTACGACACATATTAATGCTGCGGTTAAATTTTGAAAGTATCTTCATCGCGATAAGAAGTAGCGTCTTTTTATACATAAATAATAGAAAGTAGCGACGGGACCCCTGTTTTTAAAGCACAAGATACAAGTAGTCCCGCAGTTTTTTGTCGATGAAACCGGGGATTCTCTGTGAGAACCCCGCATACTGAGATGTCACACATATTGCAATCGTTTTCACAATACGCAGTGAAAAACTAAATGAGCTGCGGTAACCATGACGGATCCACTTAATCCCGCTCGCTGCCGATCTACGCACACTTTTTTATTGCTCATTCAGAATTAAGCGGTATATTTTCAAAGGAGCTTTGGATCAATTACCGACTCGCGCGTGAGCTCCATATTTTTCGCGATTAACACTGAAATACTAGACATGTGAGAGACGAGCTACTTTAAAAAAAAATTGTACATTTTATATCTTTTTTTCAATGCTTTTTTGTACTACTTAATTTTTTTATATTTTTGATATTAATATGATATCAGAAAAATGATTGAATATATTACGTTAAAACAACGAGCTGTGTATTTGTGTAACAGATCAAGTTTTATATCTCGTTACGCCTTTAGTCCCAGACCTGTCCTGACCCTTGCAATACTCGACGCGGTAGGCCGTGTTTCCGGTTTCTTTACGATTCTACAATGCTCCGTTGGTCGAATCCGATAAACCACATTTTGTTATCCCAGTTAAATGTCAAGTTTCCATCTATCAAATTTTATTTTATATACATACATATATATTTGTTGCAATACTGCAATGAATTTTTTATTATTAATTGTAATCTTTGCTTCTGTCATGTATTTATTTAGTATTTATATAATCTTGCTATATTTTCTCTCTGATTAATTTTTTTTATAAAATAAATGAGACTTGTATATTGTGTGTGAAGATGACAATCGGAAATGACGAAATTATCATTGACGCGACGTATATGATTGTGTTGGATTTCGAAAACGTTCATTGTCCTGCGATTCCCTCGGAGCAGAAACGTTTCTCGCATCGGTGACTTGAGGAAGGTCGAATTCACGACATAGCAGACCTTTCTGATTCGCATGGAGATGCTCGTGATTCAAGGACATGTGGTTGCGAATTTTATTACATGTCCACATATCATTTAATTATACTTATTTAAAACCAACAAAAATATACCCATTTATAAAAATAGCGACCAAAAATTTTAATAATTTATTTGTATAGTCTTTTTATTCGTCTATATTTATGTAATAGTAATAACACGATATATAAAGCAAATATATTCTTCTCTTATGGTTGAATATTCTGAATTAATGTTATAATAATAATAATAATAATCTTTAATAATGTATGTAATCGCGCTGTCCAAGACACGCAATTATACATATATTTATTTGAGAATAATTGATCACTTTGCATTCATATAATTAAATTAATGTCATCTTCGCAGCATTTAAGTATGCGTGATCATGCATGCAAAATACATGTTAGAATTAGAACGTTCATTTAGCACGCCAATGTAGATTCACGGCCGACATTGTCTGGTTTCGTCTTGCTCCGGTTCCTTTATTCACGGAAGGCAGGATGGAAAGAGTACACAAAATAAATTGTGCGTTGCGTTAATTAATACGTGTCGTCTCACCCGCATGATGGCGCGACACGAGGAAGAGATAGAAAAGAAGCGGGCGCAAAGCAACGTCTTCGTCAAGGCTTTTCACCGTGGAAAAGACCCCGCATGATGACGAACGGCGGATACACAATAGCCTATAATCAGGATACAACTCATCCAAAGATCTTTGCCCATATTCAAGGATAGTTTCCTCATAACACGGAACGTGCGACAGAGAGTACAATGGCCAAGGAAAAGACGTTCTTTCGAGTGGAAAATGAGAAGTCCATTTATTCCATTATTTTACTTTGGTCCGATCGACGGGCCTATGGATCGCATATTCGGATACCGGCTGATCGGCTCGTCGATCCGGTTCTGTTTCCATTTTTAATAACTATTTACGAACCACCAAACGCGTAGTGTTCCTTCTGTTACGCCTAAGATAATTATAGATTATTATCCGCTTGCGTTCGGGGGAACGCAAGAGATGAACTCTTCTTCTCGGATGGATCGAAGGGAGGCTTGGGAGCCTTTACCGAGTGGACGACCTTAAGCAAACACACTGCCGCCGTACGAAAACACTTCGGCCACGGTAAAAAGTAGAAACTACAGCCACCCCGTTTTTCATCATCGATGGTATGGAATTCTTCATCGTTGACGTAACCGAGATGACGCGCTCCGTAATCTTTCCGGATCAAGATCGACCTCGTTTACACGTGAAAACACACGCTGCCGTAATGACACTGCGTGTGAGAGATCAAAACTTATTGAAAAAATATTTCAGATATGTAATTATTAAGGAATACATATTGCAATTACCTCTTGTTCGAAAACATGAAAATATTATCGTGCATACAAAGTTTTCTGTATCGCAATCTCTTATCACAAACATTAGACAAAGAAGCGGATGAGTGTGTGCTAAGTTCAAGATTATAGCCGGAAGTGTGATATGTTAACTAGTAAGAACAATAGCTCAGTTGCAGTCGTCATGCGCGTGATAAGGCAAATCGCATCGAATCCGGAAATGTCACTGTTACTATTAAAACGATTTTCTTACAAGAAACTGTTAACAGAAAAGGGTTTATATGAATATGAAAAAACTTGATTTGTCACATACATATTTCAATGCATATATGCCATATATAGTGTACATATATCAATATAAAAAATTATAAATAGATGAATTATTAAAATATGAAATGACGTATGAAGATTACGTCTATTATCATCTGACATCCATAAAAAAATTTGGAATAATTATGGCTTCTTTAATGCAATGACGTTGTTTTGACAATTCATTTTCTCAAGTTGGCGATTTAATCTTCCGTGGACGCAATCCCCGCGTGAATACATCAATCGTTTCATTCATGTTTCGCGGCAGATATCTGTGAAAGAAGAAAAAGATCGCGCCGCGCTTGCACATCGTTTATCTTGTTCGGCACGTGAATCTCGTTGTATTCTTACGAGCAACGCGCCAATCACCAACTTTCCTTCTTTATGTGTATGAAGACAATTCGTGGAAAAACGGGCAAACGGTACCGATAAAACGGAAGAAAACCGCCGATACGCTTGAGACGCCAGCGCAGCAGATAAACGAAAAGAAACCGTTTTACGATTTTATTTAT